CCCAGCTGATTTTTTGTAGTTTTAGTAGAGACGGGGTTTCACCGTGTTGACCAGCATGGTCTCGATCTCTTGACCTCATGATCCACCCACCTCGGCCTCCCAAAGTGCTGGGATTACAGGCGTGAGCCACCGCGCCCGGCCGTCTTGTAATTTTTTAATGAAAATTGGACATCTTAGTAATGTGTAGTGATTGTGGGGTGTTATTTATTTTTCTGAGTCTGTGTGTGTGTTTTAAGTAACTTGCCCCTACTTAAACTATGGAATCTGACTCCCACACAGTGTGTGGCCACTGATGTTTCTTCTTAGTGATTTTCATTTGTTACTTTATTTTTTTAGCCTGGCTAGGAGTCACTTGTGTCTTTCTAGCTTAATGATTAGCCTGTGACTATTGTAGAGGTTGTGCCCAAACACCTGAAGCTTGTAGAGCTTTCACCCTCTGATGATCCAGGTGGATTGGGAAGTGCACTCTAAGCTCAGCCAGTTCTCCAATCTGCTTTGGGTTTTCTTTCTGTTGAGACCTCTCATGCCTTCCTTCCTCATTCATGTAGTTTCACAACCACCCAGGGATGTGAGGAGAGCACATCTGGCCCTTTTATGACTCTTTTCTTTCCAGGATCTCCCCTTCAGATTTCCATCTGGTCTTCCACTGCACCCTAATCAGACCACACCCTCAAGTTAGAATAATGCCTTCTCCCAGTTAGGTTCCCACCAGGCTGGCCCCTGTTAGCTGACAAAACTGTCGATTTTCTACCACTCCTTCAATCTCCTGCTTGTCCCAAGTCAGGTCTGCCCTCTCTGGCAGTGAAAATTGCTGGTAAGGTCCCAGCCTTCCCCTGATAAAACTAAGTTTTAAGGCATTAAGTTTGTGTCCGGATGTCTTGCCCCTAAGCTTAAGCAATTTCTCAGGACATTCCACTATTTATTGCCAGTCTGCTTTGCATTGATTTTCAGAATCTTGAAATAGCTGTTTTTGACAACTTTGTCCAACTTTCTTACTGTTATTTTCTTTTGAGGAAACAATTCATTGATCTGTTCTTGCCATCATAGCTGGAAGTCTCTTCCCTGAATCGTTGCATGGCATTTTATAATTACTTACTACATGTCTCCTCATCATTGCCCATTTCTATTTTCCTTTATTGCTACTATTTCCATTTGTTTCAGCTCTCCAGTTGTATACTTATAATGACAGTAATTACGAGCAAGTTCTGTTCCTTAATGTAAGGTATATGTAGTTAAGACTTATGTTTCTCATTTATACCTGAAACTGTTCACCATGTAATTTTGCATGTCAACCAATTTGAGCTCCTAAAGAGATATTGAATTAAGAATAGAAATCTATATGTATAGATTGTAAATTTATTGCTGCCAAAAACAACTGAGGAACAACTTTGAGTTGTGCCTGTGAACAGAGATAGCACAAGTTCTATAATTTCAGGAAGTTAGTAACAATAAAATGGGAAATTTTTAGGATGCTCTGGTTGAAAGACGCTTCTTTTTTAAAAAAAGGTACATTTTATTTATTTTATTTTTGAGACAGAGTCTCACGGTGTTGCCCAGGCTGGTGTGCAGTGGCGTGATCTCAGCTCACTGCAACCTCCGCCTCCTGAGTTCAAGCGATTCTCCTGCCTCAGCCTCCCAAGCAGCTGGGATTACAGGCATCTGCCACCATGCCTGCCTAACTTTTGTATTTTTAGTAGAGATGGGGTTTCACCATGTTGGCCAGGCTGGTCTCGAATGCCTGACCTCAAGTGATCCACTCACCTCAGCCTCCCAAAGTGCTGGGATTACAGGCGTGAGTCACTGTGCCTGTCCCCAAAGTGTATACTTTAAATGTGACGGTGAATTCACTGCTCTTAAGCCATTTATTTACCTTTGGAGAGAGTGTATGTGTGTATGTGTTGTATAGAGAGAGAGTTTGAACAGTTGAGCAGTACATCATAAAGCCTAGATTTGACAATATTTAGATTGTTTGATTAAACTTTTACTATCTGCTTATATGTCTCTTAAAATGGTCTATCTAGTTTTATTACTCATAAAT